TCGACGTTATCTGCATTCAAGAGACGCACCTCAACCCAAGTAAAAGATTTCATATTAGAGGATATGAAATATTTCGCCAAGACAGAGAAAATAGACATAAAGGTGGGGTTGCCACGCTGGTTCGTAATTCAATACCAGCGGTTGAACTACATAGATCCAACCAGCTGAATACTGAATTCATTGCTGTCCAGCTGCAACTAAAAAATAAAAATATGTCAGTCTACAACATTTACTCACCACCTACCCTCCCCACCGAACTTGAAGATATACAGGTTCAAGAGAGCAACTTGCTAATTATCGGAGATTTGAACAGTCACTCACCCAGCTGGGGTTATGACTGTTTAGATGCTCGTGGAGAAAATCTTGAGGAGTGGCTAATCACAAACTGTCTCACCCTTCTCAATCACCCTGATGACCCGCATACGCACTACTCTAGACGGTGGCGCACAACAAGCACACCTGATCTAGCATTTGCAACAGACGACATCCATAAGATATCTGTTAGGCAGGTGTGCGACCAGTTAGGAGGCAGTGACCACAGGCCAGTGAAGATTCTGATAAACAGCCTTAAAATAGAAAAATCTCCAGATACTGCACCAAGCTGGAACTACAAAAAGGCAGATTGGAAACTTTTTCAAGAACTTGCAGACTCAAACTGCAAAGCAATCAGCCTTTCAGGTAAGGTTGACAGAGATGCACAAGAATTCAACAAGGCCATACTGAATGCAGCAAAAAAAACCATTCCTAGAGGAAAGAGGCACAATTACAAGCCATATTGGTCACCAGAACTGGAAGTGCTTCACGGTTCGCTCTGTGATGCTAGAGATAGCATGGAAGCTGATCCAACAGACGAACATGTGAAGCAACACAACAAAGCAAGGGCTCTCTATGTCAGAGAAAGAAACCTACAGTGTAGAAAGTCCTGGAAAGAAAAGACTGCTTCTCTGAACATGGAAAAAGACACCACAAAATTGTGGAGACTGACCAAGGCACTTAATGATGACAACCCATCTCATGGAAAAAAACAGTTCTCCAACAAGAAGGAAATCTACTCACAGGGAAGGAAGCAGCGACTCTGATGGCCCGAAACTACGAGAAAGAAAGCTCATATTCAGTAACCCTGGAGCAAAAGAAAGCAGTCCGAGATGGGATAAACTCCATATTCAAAAAAGCCTCTTGTGAGCCATGCATGGAGACAGACATCACTCTAACTGAGCTACTAAGAGCAATGAGAAAACTCAAGTCAAAGAAGGCACCTGGCCCAGACGAAGTTTCAAACGACATGCTCAAACATATGGGTCCAGTAGCACAAAACATCTTACTCCAGATATACAACTATAGCTGGAAACTAGGCAGAGTCCCAGATATCTGGAAAAATGCTATAATCCACCCTATCCTCAAAAGTGGCAAGGACAAGAAGGACCCTCAGAGCTACAGGCCTGTCAGTCTGCTAAGCTGCCCCGCAAAACTGATGGAGAGAGTGCTAGCCACCAGACTTCAGTGGTTCCTAGAAACCAATCACAAACTTGATTCGGCTCAGACAGGCTACCGACAGCACAGAAGCACTGATGACCAGGTAGCATACCTCACACAGGACATAGAAAATGGCTTCCAGGAAAAGAAGAAAACCCTCACAGTCTTTTTTGATATGTCCAAGGCCTTTGACAAAGTATGGAAGGATGGCTTGATGCTAAAGCTCTTACATAGTGGAATAAGAGGCAGAATGTACTACTGGATACAAGACTTCCTATCACACAGGCGGGCATCTGTGAAACTAGATGAAGCACATAGTCCCAGATTCAAGCTGAGAGCAGGAGTACCACAGGGTAGTGTACTGTCTCCAGTCCTGTTCCTGATTTACATCAACGACCTACCTCAAACTTTACCCAGACATGTATCACATTCTCTTCATGCAGATGACCTAGCTGTGTGGTACACCTCTGAGTTCATTGGACCTGCTATATCAAAACTCCAGGAAAGTGTGAATAGTGTCATAAACTGGGCCAACAAATGGGGCCTCGAAGTAAACAGGAACAAAACTGTAGCAACACTCTTCTCATTGTCTACAAAGGAGGAAAAGTTTACATTAAAATTCAACAATGATGCTGTTCCACGCTCCAATACTCCAACCTTCCTGGGAGTCAAGCTTGACAGTCGTCTGACATGGAAACATCACATACTAGAAACTAACAAAAAAGCCATGAGAAAACAAGGTGTGATGAAGAAATTGGCAGGCACCACTTGGGGAGCAGACAGTTGTATCTTGAAGCAGGTATACACCGGCACAGTCAGACCAACTCTCGAATACGCATCATCGTCATGGATAACAGCAGCCCATTCCAATAAACAGATACTAGACAAAACGCAAAATAGAAGTCTGCGTACAATTCTGGGAGCCATAAAATCTACACCTATTGTAGAAATGGAAAAGGCAGCCAACATCATCCCCTTAGAAGAAAGAAGAAGGACAAAAGCAATTCTACATGCTGAAAAAAAATGAAGAGAATGTTAAACCACCCATTACACGAAAAATTGGCAGCCAGGACAAAAAAACAGAATAAAGCGCAAAAGCCTAAACCATCTAACGAAGGAATTTGGAAAGTCATTCTCTTCACTACTTAACCAACAATGTACACCTGAAGAGCTATCTTTCGATCTCTGGGACTTCAAATTATTGACACTCAATGTGTCAACATCCATCCCGAACCTGGGAAACAAAGATGCTGAGCCCGCTTTAGTGAAGAAAGCACTCACAATAGAACACCTCAACAACATGTTCCCACAGGACAGCTGGACAAGAATCTACACGGATGGATCAGCAAAAGAAGCAACTACGAATGGTGGGGCAGGTGTCTACATAAAACACCCAGATGCCACTACTGTGTCCCTAGCAGCCCCCACCGGACGTACTTGCTCTAACTACAAGGCAGAACTCTCAGCTCTATTGATGGCAGCACAGTATATGAACAATCTGCAAATCACCGCAGGCAGGATAGTTTTTCTCACTGACTCACTGTCAGCTATACAGGCCCTTGAGTCCAAACCTACCGACAGCACACTACAAAGTATAACACAGGAACTTGCTATGTTGTCAAATAAGGCAGAAATTCACTTGCAGTGGATTCCGTCTCACTGTGGCATCAAAGGCAATGAAAGCGCAGATGCTTTAGCCAAGGAAGGCAGTAACAAACTACAGACCTACCAGCCACTATCTTTTCCAGAAGTCAAAACTCTCATTAAGAGAAAATCAGAAACAGACTGGAAAAACAACACTGGTTATGACTACGGAAAAGATTTTCTGAGGCACTTGAACAGAACAGACCAAGTCACAGTTTTTCGCTTACGCACTGGACACTGCAGACTCAATAAACACTCATATAAATTAGGTATGAGCCAAACAGCTCTCTGCCAGTGTCTTCGTGCTGAACAGACTCCAGAACATGTCCTGCAAGACTGTCCTCTCCTGGCGGAGCTGCGGAGCGACATATGGCAACACCCAGTAGAACTGACAACTAAGCTTTGGGGAAACCTAAGAGACCTTGAAAAGACATCCCAGTTTATGACCCACAGTGGATTATGCGCATGACCAGAGATCGCTGAAGAAGAAGAAGATATTATGTATATTGTTATATGAACATAAAATAGGTTATTGATAAAATACCGTTGTGTTTGATAGTAACGAATGTCAGAAGGGCCTGCGTGCCTAATGTGTAACCCTTTGAAGTTAAATCTTACGGTGTCACCCCCTCCCCCTTTCTGGTTTAGCTCCGCCCATTTACGCACCAGGTCACGTTTTATAATACTTCGTTAGGCTTGTCAACTTTCTGAAGGTTACGGGAGTGTCCAGGTGTACTGTTTGTTTCGAATGCTTTCTGCCTTTTCTACACCGGCCGTTGATATCGTGTATTGTATATTCCAGCGCCTTTAACGGTCCAAAAATATGTAGAACTGGTCCTGACAGCCCCCCCCCCCCTTTTTTTTTCCCCCACTAAAGGGCTGCAACTTACGTCACATGCATTCTCTTTCTGGGAATGAAAACATAAATGGAAGACAGCACAGAACGCTTTTCGAGCAACCAGTACACCAGGACACCCCCGTAACCTTGAGCAAGGTTGACGAGCCTGAGCAAGCACCAGTCAAAAGTTACCTACTGTGTAAATGGCCGGGCCTTATCCAGATGGGGAAAATTTCGTAATATTCACCCGTTTGAAAATAAAGTTCGTCTGTTAGTTCCCCCCCCCCCCCCCAACCCATAAAAAAGGTGTAAGAATAGGCAGGGGGACCTAACCGCATAACTTCTGTGTGGCCGTAATGTTTTCTGATCACGTCTGTGAGATTGCTTCACTTCCCGGAAGTTGCAAGTGGGCGTTCATATAATGGACCAAAGGACTGGTTCATTCTAATCTGGGTGCGGTGACATTCTGTTTAACTGACAGCCGTTGATGTCATAACCTAGAATTACTAGTAAAGCTGTGGTAACATCATCATCATCATAATCATCATCAACAATATCATGAATTTCTTCGACTTCTACTTCTTCTTCTCCTCCTCCTGGTTCGACTTCTTCTTCTTCTTCTCCTTCTCCTTTTTCTTCTTCTTCTTCTTCTTCTTCTTCTTCTTCTTCTTCTTCTTCTTCTTCTTCTTCTTCTTCTTCTTCTTCTTCTTCTTCTTCTTCTTCTTCTTCTTCTTCTTCTTCTTCTTCTTCTTCTTCTTCTTCTTCTTCTTCTTCTTCTTCTTCTTCTTCTTCTTCTTCTTCTTCTTCTTCTTCTTCTTCTTCTTCTTCTTCTTCTTCTTCTTCTTCTTCTTCTTCTTCTTCTTCTTCTTCTTCTTCTTCTTCTTCTTCTTTTTTTTTGTTTTTTTTTTGTTCGTCCTTTCCTTGTCTTTCTGATCCCGTCTATAGTCTTTGTCGCTCTGTGTCGTGTCTGTCGCCTCTTTCTATATGTTTTGTCTACAGTCTATACCCCTCTGTCGTGTCTGTCTCCTCTGCATGTGTGTTCTGTCTACAGTCAACTTTCCACAACCGTTTCAGAGTTCCCGCTACCCATATTTACATACACACAAAGCAAGCGATAACACAAGGTACCAGAGGGTCATGCATGTGTGGCACATTGTCAGTGGCGTGATAGGGTCAAAGTTGACTATATTATCTCCAGCTGAAACTTTTATAAAGCTTTGGCGTTTAAATTTTTTTTTTTTTCAAACACAAAGCACTATTCAAATAACTGAACTTGTCAGTGTGTTTCTGAATTTTTGTCTGTCTTCTTCGTACCGAAATATAGACAGATCGATAGCTAGATATGTAGATGGGTGAACAGACAGACAGACATACATATGTAATAGGCTGGAGAACGCCAAAGACGGCTGTTCGGCAGCTTGACGATTTTGGTTTGTTTGGCGGATACTCTGGTTTACAAACGCGGAAAGTCTGGCCACTGTGTATAAAAAGGCCAGTCGACTCGCTTTTTGGGGCTTTTTGACTTCTGGACTCACCCTTTAGAGACCTATCCAGCTGTTGTGGCCCTACACATTGGGCTAGCCAGCATGTTTATGGGCGACTGCAGGGGAAGATCGGTTGTCTGACTAATTTCTCTAGCTGGTCTCACGGCACGTTTCAATTTGTTAGGTGGTGTTAGATTTGATTTTCATTGTATATCCTCGCTAGGAAATAGTTTGGTGACAGGTCGCTATAAGGGATTTTTTTAGGGGGGTTGGCGGGGGGGGGGGGGGGGGGGGGGCATATTGAAGCTTACGTACATGTTAAATATGTTTCGGTTTTTGCCATTGTTGAGGTAATCTCGCCGAGCGTATGGTGTCATTATCATATTTCCTTGTTAGGTGAAGATGATTAGCACTTTGGAATCTGGTCGAGCACGTTGGTTTTTGTTAATGTTGTTATCTTTGAACCACGCTGATTTAATGTTAAGTGAAATAAACAGACGTTCGATGTGGTATTTACAGTTCCAGTTGTTTTTCATTCAGATTAGGACTTGTGGTTAGTGTGCCTAGTTTATTTGTTACTTAGCTGATCTAGACTGAACACAAAAGATCTGGGCTAGAATACTTCTGTTTCTAATCCCCGCCTAACGAACTATTTTTCTTTATTTTTTTTTCCTTAGTACTTAGGGCTTCTTCCGTTCTAGTACACATACATAATCTTACTTCTTCGTACAAGCAGAGCAGAGGGCCACTTCCTCCCCACCCCCACTATTTCCTATGCATAAAGGCTCCACTATCACTCATTGAGACGTACAGGAGGTATACAGAGCTAAAGCTATCTTGTATAGACTAGAGACTAATCGGCACTGGGTAGGTGATGTAGCCAACATGGCTGCCTTTACTTCCAGGACTTTATACCTGTTATCCATTTAAGGCTGGGTTGACCTGAGAGCTAAGGTCATTGGGAGCGGAGATGGATGGGGAACAGTCTGACACTGTCAGGACGTGAACCAGCGACGTTAGGATCGGCAGTCGAGCGTTTAGCCTCAACACCACTACAACAGATTCGCAAATGTTAATCGATATGTCTATGACCTTTTTGGGTTTGTTTTAACTATGTGATAGGCAGTGGCGACCCCCTTTTAAGCACCCCCCCCCCCCCAGTGAAATAAACACTACGTGATGAGTATCGTCACCTTTTTAGACACATGGATTACCTACAACTTTGTCTCTACGACAGAACACACACACACACGAGCGCGCGCGCGCGCTCCCACAAGCCTAGATATGAAACTCGTCCTGTTCGATAAGTTATATATTGCAAGCCCTTACCAGTCTTCAACAGAAGTGTTAAACAATAGCTGCTATCCTTTACAGGACACTGCAGAACCAACCCCCCGCAATTTTTGGCTGTTGTGGTTTTTCTATGCAAATTTACTTTCAGTAGTTTGCCATTGCTTTCTACACGGTCAGTTCTCAGTACCACTGTCGAAGCCAACGCAAGACGGTCTGCTGCCAAATCGTATGCAGACGGAATCGAACCCGGCATCTCGGCATTACCAAGCGCATTTTCAACCCCTAAGCCACACATGCCAACTGTGTTTATAGCTACGTGGACTGTATACCGGGCTTATACTTGACCTGGCAACTAGAGTTCCCTGTATAACTTCTCAAGTGGTTGTACTGGGTACACACGTTTTCTTCTCTTGACTGACATGAAGCCGCTCATCGGGTCGTTTTTTGCCCCTTTGACTTCTTCTGTGATAATCTTACTATTCTTGTTATGCCGTTTGTGTCCTCGTCAGTTAAATTCATATCATAACAAGATATCAAACCAGACAAAAAGTAAAACCAGTCAGCTTTACATTATCACAAACACAAACGACAAGTGAACGTTGCAGCAAGAGTGCCTTCATCAGGACATTACATGAATAAGCACGATCACAGAAAGGATCAAAAATAGCAACAATCAGGATCTCGGAGAGTGATCGTATATAGATCACGTGTGCAAATTCACAACGAGGGAAAATGGTTTTGATTCCCTTCTTTTTAAGTTAACAGGGC